GAATACTGATAAACTTGAGTGTTCGGAAGTTTATCGCATCAAATGCGGCAACTGTAAGCAGAAGTATACAGGTGAAACAGGAAGAAAAATCAGCCTACGAATCAAGGAACATCAAACACTGCAAGGACATGGATACACAAAGATCAGAAATAGCGAAACAAATTGCACGGAAGGGGCACGAAATCGACCAAAAGGTTGGCTGCATATGGTGAGAATACGAGAAAATGCAAGATACAAGAGGCTATTGATATATTGACAGAGAGAAATCTAATGAAAAGGAGACTCGAAAAAGGCAGGATCAGCTTAAACTTTGCATATTACCTAAACAGACTCAAGAAGACCAGGCAACAGTGAGATCAGCAAAAAAAGACGACTGGATCAAGGTAATATCCTTAATTTTAGAAAAAGAGATCGCAAGGGGATGAGAAGGGAAGAATTAGAAGCAGAGACGTCTTCAGTGAGGCTTATCAAGACATTTGTGGATTAACATACAAGATACTAGGACATAGGAAGCAATAGTCATGGTATTACAGATAGAAACAGGAAAGACGCAGTGGAGACTAAAACTATTTGCTAAAAATAGACGTGATTTCATCATAAACGTGATCCTTAAATCATAACTATTGTTAGCCAACTAGCTCTAGCTTCCACTGTTTCTATCCTTTTTTTATCTATAATATCAAGTCTATGAGTTCCTATGTCCTAGTCTCTTGTGTACCAACCCACAAATGTTAAAAATTGAACCAAATCAAAACAAGCTGTACCACAACATTTGTGGGTTGGCACACAAGAGACTAGGGCATGGCAAGTCAAAGACTTGGTATTAGGGATAGAAACAGGATAGACGGCGGGGACCGGACCTAGTTGGTTGACGATAGGTCTGTTGTACTAGAGACTTGGTCCATGTAGCAAAGGAGTGACCATGACAATCAAAGGCTTGAGCCTCGAATTAGCCACCCAGACAGGTGAGTGCGAATAACGCCTCGGCTTCCACATGTGTGCAGGCTTAAACCTCATCAATTAATACAGCATACTCACCAAATTAAGCAAGCTTGGCCGTGCTTTTCCCTGGTTCATTAAGCTGCGATGGCCAGAGCTGCTACTGCGTACAGAACATAGGAACAGGAAAATAATCTATTTTCGTGGATATACTTAGC